GTGTGTGTGTATGTGTCTCTTTGATTGTTATTCTGGTCAAGTTCTTGTTGTGTTATTTCGTGTCTTTGTAAAGTAGTCTGGGGGTTGGTAGTCGCTCTGGTGTGTTTTGCTCTTCCTTTCCTATCAATCATCTATCCTCATTTCCTGCTCTCTAGCCATGTTCTGTCGTCTGCTTTCGTCTCCTCTTTCTGCCCCCACCCCTCACCTCCTTTGCCCCTTCTTCTGGGCTCGTGATTCTTTCTGCAGCCTTTCTACTGCTTCTCCTTCGCTTCTTCTTACTGCTGTCTTTCAGCCACACCCCTGATCTTCGGGTAGGAAAGATCTACACCTAGCCTTCTAGGACAAAGGCGAAAAATCCCGGAGGGCCCGTGTGCAAGTTGCGCACGTTGAAGATCCCTTGGTGGTCTAAAATCGATAAAAGTAGGCTTCGGCCGCCACCCGGCAAAATTCAAAATTTCCTACCAACTGAAAACATTAGGTGTGTCCCGCGCGCTCATATGACCTTATGCAGTTGCGAGCGCCGTAAAACACTTTACAAAAACAAAAAAAACAATCATCTATCTTCCTGAGCTTGCTTTCTTTTTTTTGTTTTGTTTTGTTACTCTCTTGCAACACCTTTACTGTGCGGCACTTATATGACCTTATTCTGTCCCCATCGTTTTATGCAAGAACAATTCTGAAATTATGCCTATTGAGCCAAAAAATGTGAAATTATGCGATTGTTGTTTTTTTAAACAAAGAATAATAAAGGAAAATGATCAGAAATTATGCAAAAAATTATCCAATTTTTGCAAAATTATGCGGGGTGCATAAAATCACGGGGACAGCTTATTGTGTTGCAAGAGTGTCCGAAAAGTCTTACTGTGGGTGGTTGACGGGTGCTCTGGTGTGGTTTGCTCCTTCTTTCCTATCAAACATCTGTCGTCCTCATCTCCCCCTCCTTTTTTATGTTTGTTACTCTTTTGTAACACCTCTAATCTTCTGGCGCTCATATGACCTTATGCAGTTTCGAGCGCCGTAAAATCTCTACTAAAATTATACTAAACTCTTACTAAAACAACACAGTTGAACTTACACTATCGACCACCTATTCAAGACAGTCATCTGTACAAATGTCAGTCTGTCTTACTTTTCCCCAGCTCTAAATGACCACCATTGTGTCGATGTGCTTTTCTTTACCTAAAAACAATACCGACAACAACGACAGCCAGCTGCAAAAGACTCTTGGTTACTCTGTATGTTACTCTTTAGTATCACCTCTAATCTTCGACACTAAAATGACGTGTTTGCGATGCAAATGCTGTAAAACTCTTACTTATTAAACTAAAGTGGTGGGTGGTTGGCGGGTTCTCTGGTTTGGTTTGCTCCTTCTTTCCTATCGAACTTCTGTCTTCCTGATCTCTCCTCCTTCTTTTTTGTGTTTGTTACTCTCTTGTATCACCTCTAATCGTCGGCACTTATATGACCTTATTGTGTTGCAAGTGCCGTAAATCTCTTACTAAAACTAAAAAACCCCAACCAAACAAACAAAACTCGGTCCTTCAATAACAACAAGGATATTGGGTTGTTCAGGTACCACACAAGTACTGTGTTGATTGCGAAAAACTGTAAAATGCTGAAATTCAAAAACACCCTTTTTTAATTAACATTGTTGCAATGCAGGTATAACAATTCATTATCTCTGTTCTATCTAAATGATTGACAATGTTCAACAAGAGAACATGAACAGGTATGTACACACACAATATAAAATGATTAAAAAAAACTAAGTAAATCTAAAACGACTAACAGAGAGAGACCCTTTTCCAAGTACATTTATCTTTATGAAATATAGAGCCCTCCCCCACCTGGATCGGTGATTGGCAGGTGCCCTGATGTGATTTGCTCCTTCTTTTCTCTCAAACTTCTACCGTGGGTGGTTGCGTTCTTATCTCTCACCCATCTTTTTTGTGTAGTTTGACCCTCTCTTTTAACAGCTCTGTTCTTCGGCACACATTATTGTTATGACCTGTTTGTGTTGCAGGTGCCGTAAAACTCTTAATAAAACTTTTTTTAAAAACCCCGTTCTTTCGTCCTTATGTCTCCTTCTTTTCCTTGTATGTCACTTTTTATCAACATCTATAAACCTCGGCACTTATATGACCTAACTGTGTTGAAAGTGTGGCCAAACTTACTTAAACTAAAACCTAAACCTAAAACAGAGACCGACCATGTATCAACCGGAGATACAAACGCTCCCGTGGAAAAATATTCTTGTAATGAAAGTCCAGTATGGCGTGAGATCCATTCATCATCATCCTATGCCTTGCCGACTGGCGTGGGCGATCATGGAGCTCCACTTCACTAACTTTGTCTTGTATCGCAGCGATGGTGTCTGTTGTTCTTGCTGTTCCCAGCCATGTTGTTAACTTGTCCAGTATCTTTCCCGTCCGTCTGCCTCTGCCTCTCTTTCCATCAGCTTGCCAGTTGTTACAATATTCTCCAACTCCAATGCTTTTTTCCCGCATTGTGTGTCCAATGAACTTTGCCTGTCGCTTTCGTATATCGTATATACCCTGTCGTCTGCACTTTGCTTCTACCAAGACTTCATTTGTTTTTCTAGCAGTCCATGGGATACACAGCATGTCTTATGAACCACTATCCTGTCGCCTCAATTGTTATTCCCAGCTGTCTATTGATTGTCCTTGTTTCGCACCCGTTAATAGTATTGGCTCGATGTAACTTCTCAGTACTCTTTTTCTTGTTTTCAGTGACAGACTGATGTTTGTAAGTATCTGTTTCATTTTGTGGAAGGTTGCTTTTTCTTGACAAACGCGGCATTCAATCATTCAATTTCGGTGTGACATCTCCCATCTGATGATATAATGGTCCCCAAATATTTAAATGTTGTACTTACTTGGAGATTCATTTACATTAGCGAAATAATGAAACCACTTCACATACATATATACAGGCACACTTTTGAATACACAAGCGGTCTTGGAGAAATGCGTCAGAGTCACAGTCACATCCACAGTGTGGAGATTCACTGGATCTTGAATGTAATGTGACGTTCGCTCTGACCTTTCATCAACCGTACTTTATCAGCGTTATTCAACAGTCACCCACATCCATTTTATTTATTTTTATTTATTTATTTATTTATTTATTCATTTATTTATCTATTCATTCATTATTGGGGTCTGAATAAAGCTGCTATTTGAATAAAGACATCAAGGGACTGCTTACGATTATGTAGTTTCGTTTTGTTTCGCTATTTCCTTTCTAATTTTTAATCGATCAATAACGGTATGTGGTTGGCGGGTGCTCTGGTGTGCTTTTCTTCTTCTTTTCTACCAAAAAACCAATCGTAGTTATCTTTCCTCCGTCTGTGAATGTGTGTGGTAACACCTCTAATCTTCGGCAATTGAATGACCTAATTGAGTTGTAAGTGCCATAAAACTCTTACCAATAATGGGTCCCCAAGACATGGTTCTGATTTGGTCGCTCTTTAAAGTAAAATATTGTTTTTTTCTCAAAACTTAAAAGAATTACGTAGGTGTTTTTGGAATGTCAGTAACAATAAGAGATCTGCCTATACAGAGGTTCAGTGGACATTATGTAACAAAGGCGTACATCATACATTCATTAGACGTTGTGTAAAGTGTAATACACGTATCTATGTGTGCGCTAGCATTCATTTGACATTTTATACCAACTGACCCAACAGACATTAAAACAAACGGGTCTCGGAGTAGGGTGCCTACTGATTGGCCCCTACACCTTCTCTCTCTCTCTCTCTCTCTCTCTCTCTCTCTCTCTCTCTCTCTCTCTCTCTCTCTCCCTCACTCTCTCCCTCACTCTCTCTCTTTCTCTGCCTCTCTCTGTTTCTGTTTGTCTTACTCTCTCTCCACATTCAATTACCTTTATTGTGCCGAGATGCTTCTTCCCACTCAAACGCAACAAACAAACAAACAAGAACTAACGCTAAATTCCTTTGGGCAACTTTTGTGCAGTGCATGTAGAAGTATACCACCCGAGTGGGTGGTTGGCGGGTGCTCTTGTGTGGTTCGCTTCTTCTTTCCTATCAAACATCTATCGTCTTTATCTCCCCTCCTTCTTTTTTGTGTTTGTTACTATCTTGTAACGCCTCTAATCTTCGACACTTATATGATCTTATTGTGTTGCGAGTGCCATAAAACACTTACTAAATAAAAAAAATACCACCCGTACTGAACACTAAAGATTTTTTAAGAGGCTGTACCTGTCAATGTAGCGCGTCCATCTTCGATAGGTCTTACCCAAGGAGGCGGAAGCGTGGAAAACTCCTCCACACAGCCCTAGTTCGAGATCGTCCCGTTGGAGTTTTGATCCGGGGTCACCCACAACATACACATGCTTGAGATTAACTGAGATATCAGTGTACCCTCGAGAAGTATATGAAAATTACGTGCAGAAAAGTTTTCCAAATACTGTATAGCCTACACTTTTTTCATAGCAGTGTGAGTTAGGCCTTTTGCTATCGCACACAGGAGACTCAAGTTCAATTCCCGAACGTGGAAAACATTTTTATCGAGTTTCTCGGTTACTCTGCTTGGACTTTGAAGCCATATCAGAACGGGTAAGCTCGGACAGACAGTGTCGGAAATCGGAAGCTCGCACCCCCTAAATGACCTAAATTGTGTCGATTGGGGGGGGGGGGGGTGTAAAACACCTACAATACCACCACATATTATAATCGCCTTTCCCATCGTGCTTATTGTAAGCAACAGGCAACAGACTGACATTTGCCCAGTATGATGATGTAAAGACTACACGTACCCGGATGTTCATACCACGACGTTGATTAGACAGCACGTATTAAAAAAAACAACAACTGCATGCATTAAATGGGCAACGTGAAGCAACAAATAACAAATCCCGCCCCCCTGCATTGAATTGCATCATACAATAATACACTCACAGCTAACATACCAAAAGCGAAGGAATTGATGAACCAAACGTTCACTAATACAATAGTATAGGGATCATATCATTAAGCTTCTTTATTATTATTTTTTTTCGCAGGAAAGACGAATCAGTATAAAGTATAGGCTATTACCCATTTTTACTTTTTGCTTCTTAACTGATATCTTACTTTGAATATGTATCGTCATTATCACACACACACACACACACACACACACACACACACACACACACACACACACACACACACACTCCCTCTCTCTGTTCTATCTAAATGATTGACAATGTCCAACAAGAGAACATGAACAGGTATGTACACACACAATATAAAATGATAAAAAAAAACTAAGTAAATCTAAAACGACTAACAGAGAGAGACCCTTTTCCAAGTACATTTATCTTTATGAAATATAGAGCCCTCCCCCACCTGGA